GTTATATTACAGATTTAGGATTATGTGGACCAGTTGATGAAAAGTCATCAAATAAAGTCTATGGAATTGTATCATATATTGCACCCGAGCTACTTAGAGGCAATAACACAAATAACACCAAAGAAACTGATATCTATAGTGTTGGGATGTTAATGTGGGAAATATTTGCAGGACATCCACCATTTAATAATAGAGCTCACAATCATTGTTTGATTTTTGATATATGTGCAGAAGGTTTACGACCACCAATATTACCTGGAATGCCTGCCGATTATCCACAAATGATGCAGAGGTGTTGGGATGTGGATCCATCAAAAAGACCAACTAGTGAAGAACTTTGGACATTTGCTAAAAATAAATATGACGAAATTATTAAAAATAATGATAATGATAATGATAATACTACTACTAGTGGTTGTAGTGGTGATTCACAACAAGTATACAAATCACATCCAGATGCATATCACACAAGTAGAATATTAGATGAAGATATTGCTAAATTTAAAAGCTTAAAAATTACAAGTAATAGTTCGTTAAATAATCTTGATTGTGACTCTTTTTTCTAAATGTTAACAAAGGTGAATAAAATTTTCATTATTGTTAATTGGAAATTACTACTTATTAATTATTACCAACAATATTAATTAATTAGATTCTAGTAACAATGGTAAAAGAATTGATGAATGACTAATTTAATCTCCACTATAAATTTATTCTTTATTTATTTATTTCATCCTTATTTTATTTCTTATCTTGTAATAATATTTTGAAATAAACTTTTTACCAATTTTTCGATTCTCGTTAAATGGTGATATTGCGAAGTATCATTTCAGCTAATTAACAATTATGGTTTATAAAGTTCCTTTTATTCACTTGTGATCGATTTGTTTCAGTCTCTTGCCCTTGCTTACGTTTATTAGCCGATTGCAAACTCGCTTTGGTTTATTTGACAAAACAACTTGAGCAGCTTGTTTAACGGCCTTACGTTTACGATTACAATAATATTACCAGTATTTCCGGCTAACTTTTGCTTACTCACCAAAGCAAATTACCTCATTAATCGTTGTTAGCACTCACTAGTTAGTCCTAACCTTGCTCATTAAAGCAAATAAACATGGCTTTTTACCAAAGTTCCACAATTATTACCTTTCACCACGGCATTAACTACACTTGTTGCTTTTATCAAAGCGTTTTAAACGAAAAAAAAATAATGACAATGTTTTTGATTTTATACTTATTTTTAAAAGTTTATTAACGATTATTATTTTCTTCTGCGAAGACCCGAAGTTATCCTTAATGAAATTTTCGTTGATAAAGATAAAGATAAAAATGGGTTTATTATTGCAAAGTAACTTAATCAATCAATATTGATATTCAAGCAATTGAAAACTGTCTAAGGGAAAAGAACATTAGCAAAAAGGAAAACAATTTACCAATACCAATACTAATCTATAAATTTCGCATCTAGGTAAAATTTAAACGGTTCACAGAAAAATTAATTTTTAATTTTTTAATTAAATATATCTTAAATAATCTTTGTCAAAATATTTCATCAGGACTTATTGTCTTCTAATAAGTGCGGAAGCTGCACTAAATAACGTTTGTATTACACACACATATATATATACTTATTATTTTTTAAAGAAATATAGTAAAAAAAGTTGCAAAAATATTCATTTTTATTTATTTTATAACGATATATTGAATTTTACACGTAAACATTAAAAAATTAAAATTTTAATCTAATCTAAATCCTATCTGAAATGTTAATCCCATTAGCACATGTGAAGATGCCCAATTAATTATTTTTTATCTTATTTGAAAAACCTCAAATTCATCGAATTGTTGCCCTTTACTATATTAATGTTATTATAAGATCTTGGTGAACCACCCAATAGGGTTTGTATTCACGGATACTGTGAATACCGTAAAACACATGTTAATCGCTTGATTTTAATAGTGTGTGACCCTCTTTACGGTATCCGTGAATACAAACCCTACCACCCAAACAACAATCTGTATTAATTGAAAGATCAAATCCACTACCAAACTTGGGAAACCAAGTAGGAAAGCACCAAATTGCATGCTTACACTGACAGTCAATTACATAACTAATTGAGCAGTATTAATATCATTTCTATCACTTATAACTTTCTATTGTGTTCTTAAATCCACTTCCATTCCAATTACCATAAAGCCTGAAAAGATACTATGAAATTTTGATGATTAATATAATAAATTGTGTGTGACAAACCATAAAAATAAGGTAATGTCACGGGGTGCTATCTTTCCAGACTTTACAATAAGTGGATTATAACCACCAATAATTTGCCCTGGAATTTGTATTTTGGCAACAGAAGGGTCTTGTTGATATTATCACATTGTAGTTTTGTTTAAAACCATCCTTACTACTGCGATACAAAAATTTGAATTTATACTTGATTTCCCTGAATGAAGTGTGTGAATCCAAAAAATTTTTTTCTACAGTTAAATAGTTTGTAAATCGTCAAAATAATAATATATTTACTCATTCTGTTTGTGTTCTTATAATTCATATAGCAATATAACAAATTTCAGATTCTTATTTACCTTTAGTTATATATATAATTAACAAACTAATAATAAAAGGCTCATCCAGTTGTCATTCACTTCATGACCAAATCGTACAACGTTTTTTCCATGACGGGGTCAAGAACGTCTGCATGTATCACGATCAACTTTACTGTCCTTTTTCCGTGTAGGCAAAACCGTGTGTGTGTATCGTTCCGCAGTTTTTAAATTCATCATGTTTGAATTAAAATGCAAATATTAAAGTTATCTATAAAATCCCAAATGATCCAATTATTTGTCTGTTCATCCTGTTTTGTTTGTGTTGCTTATAATTAAATAGCTATATCATTGAAGAATAGAAAATACTCATTTCACGTTAGAAAATATATATATAATAAATTTCAGCATTAAAATAAATTATTAATTTACCTTTACAATTTATCATAGTAAAAACTCCTCCGATTGTTAATGATTTCAAATTTTGGTTTGTAAAAAAAAAATCTTTTTAGCACTTTTTTTTACTCGTATCAGATCCTCACAACTTATAGTGAGCGTTGCTTATTGGTTTAAAAAAAAACAATACAATTTTGTCACACAAAATTCAAAATATCACATTTTTTATTACTCCTGTATGCTTTTACAACACAAAGGACGTCCTCAGAAATTAAGATATTAAGATTTGGTTTGGTTTGATTTGATTAAGAAGGTTAATATTAATATCCTCAAAAATTAAATATTTAATTGTACAACCTTGAAAAATTTTGAAATGTAAATTTGTATCTGTTTCAAATATTTCAAATATTTTGGATATTTGTAATTATTTTGGACATTCATAATTATTTGAGATATTTGTATTTATTTTGAATATTCATAATCATTACATTACAAATATTCATAATATTTGAAAATTGAAATTTTTGGATTTAAAATATTCAAATAAGGTAGGATTACAGTTAGGAACCCTACTCTGCAAAAAAACATGTTATTACTAGAAAGTCTATGCACTAATTTATAACTCATCTCAGCTGGTAGAATACAATTGATTGAGTTATTCTATTGTCACTTCTTCCTGGACTTGGTAATCCATGAACTTCTGCATAATTTTCAGGAAAGTTTTTTACTATAGCAATATTTTTATCAATTGCCATTTTCTAGAAAATCCTTTACTACTTCTGCAACATTTTTTACCAATTACCATTTTAGTTTTCCATTGAGGCATTCTTTTAATATTACCATGAATTCTTGGTAAAAGACCATTGTTTATCAGATGATTTCTGATATTTTCAAAGTAAGTTCTACCAATTCCTAGCATATTGAGATAAGTTTCTTGACAAAGAGGTGTATTGTAATCTCAGTGATAGAAAGTTCTTTTATTAGATCTATTTTTCTTTTTAAGGCGTCTGCTGGTGCTTATTGATCCACCATCCATTGCTTTAATCTGAGCCATTAAAAATATATCTTGTTCTGATTTAGAAAGAGCTTGAAAAGATTCTCTTAATTCTGCAAATTGTTCCTTGGAAATTCTTGAAGAACAACCACAATTACATCCCTTTTCTAAAAAATCAATTGCTTTTTGATATTCAGCAGAACCATTATACTTATTATTACTTTTCATATACACTTATCCCTATATATATAATTTTATAATTTCATGTTCACTTTGTAGGTTTTCATTTATTTTAAAATTGAAAATGGTTTTGTGGTGTGGGAAGAAAAGAATTAAATTTGAGTGGATCTGCAAATAAATATCAGAAATATTTATTCAATAGTTGATATAAAAGAGAAAATAAAAATCCTCAACTGGTTCCATGAAAAATAATTATGTTAGATTTAAATTATTTATTATTACTAAAAATGGATAAGATAAATTATCTTGAGACCTGAGATTTATTGATCAACTAAAACAGATAAACAAATAAATAAAAGATAATTATTGTTATTTCTAAAAAAAACAATTGAAGAAAATTGTTGATTAAAACATTAAAACAGATTTTTTTATCTTAGAATTAATGCACAATGTAGTCTTCTAAGATTTTTGCTGAATGTATCATTTGATCTAATAAAATCTAATTGAAATGTACTAAAACAAATAAACAAATGATTAAATTTATTTTTTAATAAAAAACTTTAAAGTATATAGATATGATTGATTTTGGACTGAGATTGATGTATCAAAAAAAAATTTGCAACATTAAAAATTATTTAAATTTTATACATTTAATAATATTATTTTGAATAAATCCTTTAAAAACAATGCCGTTTAAATTGATTACTACTTGTGTGATTGATTCAATCAAAGAAACAAAATTAATTATTTCACAAATAAAAGCTATTTGTTTGTTTATTATCGAATTTAAATGATTTCTATTCATAATACAAATTTGTTTTATTTGTTTTATTCAAATAAATCTTATTCAAATAGAATCCCTAACTACTACTCACAAAGAGCTTTAGAAATGTTTAACCAATAACTTAATTACAACATAAAAAAACTATTGGTTTATTAAATTGAGCCAATGATTAACTAAAAAATAGGATTAATTTTAGAAGAATATTTGATAAATATTGGCACTTTCAATATTTACTAATAGGCTTTTAGACTGTATATATGATAAAAATACCAAGAATATTATCATCTTATTGGCATGCCAATACCTGAATTATTTTTTTAAAGAATATTTATTGGTCAGATATAAGGTTCTGATATTTACCAATATATCCCATTACCCAATTTGGCATCATTCAACCAGTAAAAAGAAAACCAATAGAATTATATATAAGCAAAGAAAGATGGGACTCTAAATTAGCACAAAAGAATTTTAAATCATGCACAAACATAATAGCTTGATAGCTTGATTGACATAGTGGTACAGTCTTGGATTCCATGCAATTTTTTTATTGTATATTTTAAATATAATTAATTATACATCTTTAATAAAACAAACATGACTTAGCTATTTAACCATTTCCTTCTATGTGAATGTCTCCATCTGTCAAATATTCACAATGGTCATGATTATTATTCAATATGTTTTATGTTATAATTGACATAACAAACAATTGCATCACCCAGGTAGTAATAATACCAAGGCCATGCATAAATGAAACTTTTAATAATGCATGTCTACCTAGATCTCTAAGGTTCATAAAATAAATTATTTTTCCTGATTATCAATCATAGTTCTTTATGAATAATAAATCTGATGTTGATTGCAGGTGTCAGATTTAGTAAAATTTCCTATCACAAACATGTGGTTATATGCTTTCACACGCCTCATAAGTGTGGAATTTTTTTCCACAGGTGAGGCCCCCCACATGCTGGAAGGCTTTTATAAAGGTTGGCAAAAATTCACCCATTATCTTCCCCTCAGACCAGGCTTGGCCGTTACCATATAGCAACAATTGCTGATGAGAGTCAATACTCATGTGATGTTTTGCTTTGTATTATCACCCACTATATCCAAGACATAAGTTCTGCTCTACGTTTTGATTTTGCAACACATTTATATAAAATAAAAGATATTTATAAAAGGATAAAAAAAAAAATCAATACAGAAATAAAAATTAATATATCTCTTGCTATTAATAACATGTTGTGTCTTCTTTAGAACAAGCCATACCAAATAACAACATTCACGTTTGTCATGTAAAAAATAAATTGTTTTTCCAAAAAATAATTTTCAATCGCGTCAACAAAAAAAAACAATAGGGGCTTCCTTGTATAACCATATATACCTCGGTTACACCATTAAAATTTCTTTTGATTGCCTTATTTCTAACCAATAATAGGGGGATCTGGATCGGGTTGGTGTAACTGAGGTATTATAATAGTAATCAAAATTTTTTTTTATTTTTTTAAAAATTTTTTTTCAGAAAGAAAATGTCCTATTTTACAACAAAACGTACAACAAGAGAAACAAACCAAGGAGAAGCGATTTCTAGGTAAGTGTTTATAAAAAGAATGATAGTGGTTATCGCCCACTCGTTATTCTAGTTTAAAAATTCACATAATTTCAATTTCACATACAACATATGCATGGATTTTGCATTAGAGGAGGAATAGATCAATATGCAAGAGAAGTCATAAGAAGATATGGCAAGGATCATAATTTATCGGAAGATTTGGTCAATGAAGTCATGGAAAAAGAAAAGGAAACGGTCGATTTAGTTAAAGTTGTGTTGGAAAATTTATCATTGGTTCTTAACAAATATCTCGAAGAGGAAAGAGAATACAACGATACAGAACTGTCTAATACTTCTAATGATAGAAATAGTATCGATGATCTAAATATAAATGAACAATCCGTTACTATTAATATTAATGATAGAAATAGTATTAATGATCTAAATGAACAATCCGTTATTATTAATGATAGAAATAGTATTGTAATTGATGATCTAAATAAACAATCCGTTACTATTAATGATAGAAATAGTATTGATGGTCTAAATAGTAATGATGATAATCCAAATGAACAAACTATTGTAGAAACATCATCATCGTTAGCATCACAGAAAAGTTATAATCTTAGAAGAAAAAGACCAGTAAACTACAATGTTGGTGGAACATTACCGAAAAAACGATACCGAAATAATAATGAAAGTATAAACTGAAACATTAATAGTAGACATATCATTTTATTTAATTTTTTTTTTACTTATATTTATAGAGATCACCACCATCACCATCCTCACCGTCACCACCATCACCGCCATCACCACCATCCGAGGTATATACGTTATAAAATATAATTATATTTTAAGATAAAATATTAACTTTTTATTATTTTTTATATATAGATTGGATGCACGAATTCGTGCCCGCTACATTGTCAATAATATTTTCGACAAAAATATTAAGTCCATTATCGAGGCAAGTTTGGATATTTCCAATTGCTCTTTTTAATGATTGAGGATTAACAAAAGAATAATTTATTTCCCTTGATGCCAAGAAAAATAATAATCGCTGCTGATTTTTAGTTTCTCGTAAATTTCCCTTTTGCTCTGATGGAGAATTAAAAAAAGTTCTTTTTCTTTTTCGTTAATAAAAGTCAGTTTAAAATTTTTCCCAAACTGATCTCGTCAACAATACGGATTGTGATTTAACTTTGCAACAATAAATCAATAGCATTCGTGAGACATTTCAACAGCAATTAAATTATTTTATCTTGTGAGCTGGCTACTTACTATACTAATTGTTAATAAAATACAATAATTATTAATTGTTTACTTTTAAATAGTCATTGTGAATATGTGGAACTTTGATTTATGTTGTCCGAGTGGTTTATTTAACTAACTACATTGTTGTTTAGGTAAATATACTATTTTGATCCTTGCATATAATAATTAATTTACTTTATCTGTTGCCAAAGTCTCAAACCAGTGACAATCTTGCTATCATTGACTTTGGCAAGTGTTACATGGTGTATAGTTGGCATTGAAAATAACCGTAAATAAAAATAAAATAAAAGTTTCTGCAATATATAGTAATTAAATAATTACGGTCACTGCTTTTTGGCACATTTCTCTGCACAACAGTCTTCGACGAACATAAATTATTTCATACATCTAAGCAAAAACAATTGGGCACCTTTTCTCTTTAAAACGTGATCTCTTATATATAAATAGCCCTTTTGGTTGCGGAACAACAGCATTTCAAAAACCCTACACTTTTGACTTTGGAAGCTCCATTCTTTTCGGAAAACAGCTTTTTTAAAATCATTTTACCATTACAAGAGAGAGCACATTGAGAGCTTCCAGGAAATATATAATTAATATGGGGTTTTATAGAGGAAGAAGAAATTACAGGCAAAACCCATTTTCATAAGAACTTTATAATTTTTTTTTTACATTATTATTTTACCAATGGTCTCTAGCCATTAAACAACACATGAAAACAATATTTAATTGGACCGTTCCTTATGACAAACAGAGAATACGAAAACCAAGCCTGACTAGATAAATGATTAGAAATCAAGGCTAAACAAGAAAAAAAAATTTCAATAATTTAGCCAGTGTCGAAGAAAAGATTGTTAACCTTAGTAATTGAAGATTATCCTGATTTAAAGCAGTTGAATTTAAGTAACAATTAACTAGAAGAAATAGTAATAAGAAAATTGTCTTGAACTAAGATTAGTTGTTTGTTCTCATAACAAACTAAAAGATTTAAAGATAGAGAATTGCCCTAATGTGCGAGAAATTTATGCTCACAATAATCAGTTAACTAAGTGAGATGTTCCTCTGAAAGATTTAAAGAATAAGAACCTAAGAACTATTTCTTATAGTAGTAATCCTTTGAATCCCAAAGAAAAATATCATTAAGATGCTTTGGGGTTATCAGATCAGATAATAATTAGTCAAGTGGATGTTGAAGCTCAAGAGTGGTTAGATGAGAAGATATCCTTTAGCCAAAAGAGCTAATATTGAAAAACTGGATCTTAGTAGTTTAGGATTACAAGGGGATTTAAAATTGGAGGGATTTGTTAATTTAAAAAGATTAGATTGTTCTGATAATGAATTAGAAGGTTTAGATATCAAAAGATTGTGGCAAATTAGAATATTTGGATTGTTCAAATAACTCTAGTTTAAAGAAGAAACCTTTTTTGGTAAAACTTTCAAAATTAAGACTGGAATTAGTGTTTTGGATGTTAGTAAAAATAGAAATTTACTAGAATTGCATGCTAATAATGGTATGTTGAAAAAGATAAACTTAACTGATTTGGATAAGTTACATACTTTATCTATAGCCAATAACTTTGTAAAGCAATTAAATTTATCTGATTTACAAAAATTAAAAATTTTATATTGTTCTAATAATCAAATAAATAGTTAGTTTAGAGTTTTATAAATATAATAAAGATAAGAATGAGATTTTAAACATTTGGTTTGTAATAATAACCCTATTAAAAAGTCGGAAGTAAAATATTTAAAAGAATTAGAATCTTTGTATTGTTTTAGATGTTGATTAACAGAATTAGATTGCAGTGATTTATAAAAATCAAAGGAAATTTATTGTGCCTACAAAGTGTTAAATAGCCTAATTGTTTCAGGTGATGATAGTGAAAATATTAGAAAATGTGTGGCATTTCTGGAAAAAATAAATGTTTTGGATTGCAATTAATTAGAGATATTGGATTGTGCTGAAAATCCTGGAATTAATAATTTGACCTTTGCCAATTTCTCAAAACTCAAATTTGTTTCCTGTAAAGAAAGTGCTATTGAGGAATTAGTAATTGACAATTGCAATCAATTAGAGTATTTGGATTTCAGTCAACAATCTAGGATATGAAATATAGGAGATAAACTTAAATTTGATGGTGTTAATACTAATAATCTATACATCAAAAGCTTTGCTGATCTTAAAAAACTTTTTTACTCAAAAGGTGCCAAAAATGTTCCTGATTGAAAAACCATGCCTAAATTAGAGATATTTGGAGTTGGTGAAAATAAAGTTATGAAAGACAAAGATGGTAATGACACAAAAGCGTTTTTTATGGAAGAAATTGATGTCTTAGGAATTCGCAACACCAAAAAAATAGAACAATTTTTAGCCAAGGGGAAGAAAATATTGCCTTAGATGATTTGCTCCAAATAAATGAATCACAATTGGAAGGAGTATCAAATGAACTCAGACTACAATTAGTTGAACTGATCAAAGAGAAATTTAGAGAAGAAACTATAAAGGAAGAAATAACTAAAGCACCAGATTTGTTAGCTAATAAAGAAAACCTTTCTGATATTAAATTAATGATTTAGAGATCTTAAATTTAGATTTACTGGAAGCAGAAACTAAAGAACAAGTAAGCAATTTATTGGCTGAATTGAAAGCAAAAGATGAAGGTTACTGATCAAATGAGGGAGAACCAGGAGGATGAAGATGTTTATGAGTTCAATGAAGAGCAAAAACCCTTCTCTCTCTGAGATTAAGAACAATTAGAACAGTGTTTTATTCAGCATGAGATAAAAAATGTTACTCTTGATAGTAATAATAAACTAATAGTTGAATATAATAATAATAATAATACACAGTGAATCTCGATTTAACAGATAGTTTGGGCAATTAGTATTAGGGAAAATTTTCCAAAAATCCGTTAAACTGAGATATCCGCTACGGTGCAGATCATCTATAATCATTAATTGCTTATAGTAACAATTGGTCAACTTCGAAATACTAAAACAAAAAAAAATTATATCATTTTAAAAAATTTAACCAATAAGTTTTATTGTTCATGACTCAAGCTTCAAAACTTATCGGC